TGGCCGGTACATATTTTTGGTGCAAATTTTTCGGTGTCTGTAGCTTTATTGTTGTTACCATCATAAATTTAAAAAAAAAAAAAAGGAAAAAATATTAATGCTGAAACACAAAGGTTAAAAAAATCATATTATATTACTAATTAAAAAAAGGAATTATCAAAGAGAAAAATATTAATATTAATATTTTATGTAAAAAAAAAAAAAAAACCTTGTATTTATTTATTATTGCTTGTTTGGTTTCTCTCACAAAATTGTTAACTACAGCAGCACTCAATTAATTCCTTTTATACCAAAATTTCCTAATTTAACAATTTAAATATAGTTTAATCAGGATTATATCTTATTTTTATTTTTAAATTAATTCCTTTTATANATACTCTATTTTATACCCTAATCCATATTTTCATGATCAATTTCATGCGATCAATTAGACGGGGCCAAAAATGACTTCCCTTTAATAATCATGCTATTCTTTTAATGAAAATATCTTTTATCGGATAAATGTATGATCTTATACCATCATTAATCAAATAAAATTTTATAATTGTATATTTACTTCAAAAGTAAACAATAATGGTGGTAGATGAGGACGAAAAGTCACAATAAAAATAAAAATAATAAGATATAATTTAATAGTATAATAGTGATTTGATATACACGTTCATAAGAAAAGTTTAAATCCTATGTGTAAAAGAATGTAAAGGTACATACTTTATCATAGGTGTAGAAACTATTATGAAATTGAGTGTTGTTATGCAATTATATAGGGGCGTAAAGTATTAATCAAGAACTTTTTTAAATAAAATTATTGTTATACAGTAGAACTTCTCTATAATAATACTTTATATAGGAATAACTTTCATGTAGTTATAAAAAATTTTCGGTCCTAACTTTGGTTAGTTATAAATAAAAATAAATTTCATATTGTAATAAGTTATAATTTTTCTAGATTCCGTCTTAAAGAGCTTGCCTTTACATAATAATAATCATTTGCATATTGCAAAAAATATATGCTATGTTATACTAAAGGTTTAAGATGAAATAAAATATTTATCTAAAGTTGTTTTAGATAAATATTTATGTTTTAAAGTTGTTACCACATCTTTTATCTTGTGGGTACATAATAAGTTATCAGTATGAACACCTTCTTATTGAAGTCAAAATATTTCTAGTTCTCAAACATGTTTAGAGCTTCTTAACATGAAATTTTTGGTATTTCCATACTATCATCCTCAAGATTATATCTTTTCTCTTATTGTATAATTCCAGTGATGATTTCTTTTTCAGTTAAAATATATACGAGTAGTTGCTCATTTAGATTATTGAGAAAGACATTAATATTCATTTGATCAGTATAGTAAAATTGTCGAATCTGATCAATTAATTTTACAATGACTCGTTGATATCCATTTCTGTGTTATCCTAATGCTACTAAAACAATGAATTGAAATCTTAATACTACTAAAACATGAATTATAAAATAAGAAATCAAAACAATAATTTTTGTAACTATACTTCTATTAAATTATAATCTCTTTATGGTAATAAATTTAATTGGTCCCAATATTATGTCTATAAAGAGGTTCTACTATATTAAGATATATTAAAATGTGATTAGTGGAAAGATTTAATTAGATGAAACGTAATTTCATTGGAACAACTATTAATGTTTTGACTTAATGAGATTGGGTATACATCCATTGCTAAATATATTCTTAAAAATTCACTAATGTCACAATGTCCGATGATGTATGACCTTGAATTTCCTTTTAAAATTGATTGCATAAATATATCTATCCACCGCATTGATTTGGGTCAGTTGTAACTGTAAATATGACATTTCATCTTGTCCAAAATATATATATTATATGGTTTTAGTAACTTATTATCTCAGTAAGAAATGTAATACGTTGATAATATAGATATATTAATTATAAGGTGGAAGACTGAAATCAAGAAACTAACGAAAGTGAAAATGATAAAGTGGGGATGAAATTAGGTTGAGTACTAGAGTACCATCTAAGGTACGGTACACTCACCATCACCAATGTTAGATCAAAGAGACAGTCACTAAGTCCCACATTTCTCTCCAACTCTTGTGAAAATGAAACAGACACCATTCTTAAAAATGGCATTTTCACATTTTACCATCACCTTTTTTATCAACAAATACCCCACATGTACATGTGATACCGAAACTTACAGTTTTCTTTCACCTCAAGCCACACAATTAAGTTCCAACAAATGCATATAGATTTATTTTTATTATATAGTTTCATTTTTTTTTTTTTTATGACAAGGAGTATCCGGACAGTTTACGTGGACCTCAACTAACTTTCTAGAACCCTAGAACTACTAGTCAAATAAGAGTTTCAGTGACTACATCTATTAACAATCGATGAGGGATTCGAATTCAGAACCTCTTGAGTAATATACCCAAAAGTTATTCTCAAACTACTCGATCACCCAGAGATAATTTTATATAATTTCATTAAATAATTAAGTTGACGTATAAGATATTGTCCCATTAGAATTAACCATGTATTATCGGCCACTATGCCTTACCAATAAATAATCATCTCTTTTTGAAATGTTTTACATGAATTTCATTCAAAAATCATGTAAAACATTTACCATGACTCCTATATATAAAAAGAAAAAGACACGTGCCCTCATTACAATAACCCAAACTAGATGGTGAACCTTATTTTCTTCAAATTTAAGGCAGAAAAATAAAAAACCATATGTCCAAAAAGAAAGAAGCAGACAAAAATCCCGAGAATGTAATTAATCTGTTCTGTTTTTTGTACATGTGAATGTTGGTGATGAAAGAAACAGCAGTTGTTACAATCTTATCTTAAAGTTGTAATAAGTTGAGAACTCGCAATCGCTTAGGGTTTGAGCTCAGATAAAATAAAATATGAAAGTGAAACCAAACCTGCCATGCATGCACAAAGTCAATTTAAGCTTGCCGCCACATTATATATAAAAAGCGCTCCAAACTTTAATTATAATTAAACAATGACATATAATAACGTTAAAACACAAACTTTCAGTCTTATCAAAGCATGATTAATTACCTCTGACGGGCCACTTAAATCATCTCCACTGTGCAGATTTCATCAGAAAAAGAAAAGAAGTAATGGATAATAAAACAGGGTTGCCCACTACTATTACTTACCCACCGTTTGTTTAATCTTAACTTTCAAACAACTCATGATGATGATATAGCTTTTGTAGTGTTACCATCTGATGCATGACATGAAAGCCATTTCTCAACCGTTGATTATCTTCATGGGTAAGCATTTTGATTAGAATACAAGCATATATACGTTCACTCTTTCGTAAGCTTTCCAAGTTTAGTCTTTAAATAATACAACGATTTAAAAGCTTAAGACTTTGCAAAGCTTTTCTAAAATTGTGTAGCGACCCAAACATCGGTCAAAGACGTTTCTCATTGCGTCATTTGATAAATGATGATACTTTTTAGTATTATATCAATGCATTCTAGAAGCAACAATTAATTGCTTTTTATTTTTATTTTTTGATTCATAATGATAGTACGTAGAAAATATAAGTAAATATAAACTTAACCCATTACGCAAGAAGAGGTGACATGTCGTCTATGTTAATTGTAGCAATGGGACAATGGACATGTCAGTTCTTGTTCTTGTCATTTGAAAATCCCATCAGTTAAAGATTGAAACTTATCATCTATAAAACTTGCAAGAAAAAGCAGTAAAACTATCAGGCTGCTGTTCCTAAAATTTGATTGAAATGGGCTTGATTAGATAGAGTAAGTTATAACTCCAACGGTATTGCGCAATGCTCAAGTACATGAATATATTCAATTATAGAAACCTAAATGCATTTATATACAGTTATATAATTGCACATATTGACCTAATAAAATGAAATTCAACCTAACAGTTGATCTGTAGAGGTGAAAATAATAAATTTCCACGCTACCAATTCAGTTGACTCATAATTCTCACAGTTCAATTTATGTTAGTTTTAACTAGCATTAGGTTTTATTTTTTGAGTAAACGACTATTTCCTACCCAAGATTTGCTTTAATAACACTTTCCCACCCAAAAAGTTTCAAAATACCACTTTTCCACCCAAAGTTTATATTCCGTTAATACTCAAAATGCACTTAACTTTCTCGGCCGGCGTTCAACTAATTATCAAGAGCCAGGGTAAGAGGGATTTTGTAGAGTGGAAGCCGGTGGATTGAATGGTGGTGATCGATTGAATATTTGCCAGAATCAGTGGGAAATTGGCTAAGAACATGAAACCTTAGCTTTGTTGTGGCCGGCAATCGATAAAAAATTAGGTGCCGGAGTGAGAGGGGTTTTATAGAAAGGAGATCGAAGGTTCAAATGGTGTTGACAGGGAGAGCTTTCGACATCAGATTCAGCTGTAATCAACTTTAGGTAATAACGGAATATTACGTGTGGAAAAATGGTATTTTGAAATTTTTTGGGTGGGAAATTCATTAAGGAAAACCTTGGGTGGAAAAAAAAAGTCGTTTACTCTTATTTTTTCTTCAAACCTGACACACTCTAGACTCTGAACATTTTCTTTTGTATTGAATTTAATTGTTTAAATATTATACAACGGTTCAGTTAGTAGTTCTATATTAATTTCTAAAGAGTGGGGACGATAATTAAATAATTTACCTTAAATTCCAACCCACCAAAATATTTCCCATAAATAGAAAATGGAATACAGAAAGCTTAGTAGATGAATTTCCAAATCTTAATTAGTCCTTAAAACACTACTTTATGTAACATGCAAGATAGAAAACTGGGGTATTTTAACACTACTTTATGTAACATGCAAGATAGAAAACTTGGGTATTTTTTAAGAAATCTTGTTTTAAAGAATAATATTATTGTTCATTCACCTAACCAAAGAAAAACGACATTACAGCAATTCCCATATCCTCTATATAATAATAAGTTAGTGTTAGCCCGTCATTCAATATACGACGGCAACAAGCCTGAAAGCAAGAAGCAATAGACAATAACAAGAGAGAGTGAGAGATCGAAATGGACTCCTGGCTTCGACTTTTGCTTCTTGTAGCATGCGTTTTTCCTCTTGTAGTTGAATGCAGGGTTCGCCACTACAAGTTTAACGTAAGTACATGCACCTCTTAAATTGCACTTAAAACACGGTAGCCTTCTTCAGTTTTTCATTCATTCTTTTTCACCATGGCATTTTGCATGTTTGTTTTGATCTATCATGCGGATAAGCATGTAAATATTTACGTAGTTATAGTAAATTTTTGTCAACGTAGTTGTTGGAAAATGTAAATGTCAATCTTGGTCACTTGCTGCTGGACTTTTTTATGGTACTTTGTTCTAATTTTTTATATATTTTTCATAATTCTACCGTTAATAAACTAAAACGGGGAGGAACCTAGCTGTATCAGTTTGTGTTGCATGTGGAATGAAACTTAAAGGACATTTGCAGAAACTTGTGCAATATATATGTAAGTTTTTAACAGAGGTTTGGTGCTTTTCTGGGTAACTTGTAAAGGTGGTGATGAAAAACTCCACCAAACTATGCTCGACCAAGTCCATTGTCACAGTTAATGGGAGGTTCCCAGGACCCACTCTTTATGCAAGGGAAGATGATACCGTGCTCGTCAAGGTCGTCAACCATGTCAAATATAATGTTTCTATCCACTGGTGAGAATTCTAGAGATGATTCATTCAATCTTTAACCCAATTAAATGTAATGTTGATTTATTTAATTACACTTAATTTTCCAGGCATGGTATCCGACAACTGAGAACCGGCTGGGCTGATGGACCAGCATATGTCACACAGTGTCCAATTCAGCCTGGGCAAACCTACGTATACAATTTCACAATTACAGGCCAACGGGGCACGCTTCTCTGGCATGCACATATTCTCTGGCTAAGGTCCACTGTCCATGGTGCCCTTGTTGTCTTGCCTAAGCGTGGTGTTCCATATCCCTTCCCACAGCCCCACGAGGAACAGGTTATTGTACTTGCTGAGTGGTGGAAGTCAGATACTGAAGCCGTTATCAATCAAGCTCTCAAATCTGGATTGGCACCTAATGTTTCCGATGCCCACACAATTAACGGCCAGCCGGGGCCTGTATCTAATTGTTCTTCACTGGGTAGGATTACATTACATAAATAAACTTCTGTTTATTAGATTCATTTTTAAATTTTGGGGCTCTGTTTCTGTTATGTGCAGGGGGCTATACATTGCCTGTGGTAAACGGCAAAACCTACCTTCTTCGTTTGATCAATGCTGCACTCAATGAAGAGCTTTTCTTCAAGATAGCAGGGCACAAGCTTACCGTTGTGGAAGTTGATGCCACCTACGTCAAACCATTCAAAACTGACACTGTCGTAATTGCCCCAGGACAAACCACTAATGTCCTTGTTACTGCTGACCAAAATTCTGGCAAGTACCTAGTTGCAGCCTCTCCTTTCATGGACGCTCCAGTTGCGGTCGACAACGTCACTGCAACCGCCACATTGCACTATTCAGGCACGCTTTCTAGTACACGCACAACTGTCACCAAACCACCCCCCCAAAATGCCACCGCAGTTGCTAACAACTTTACTGATTCTCTTCGTAGCCTTAATTCCAAAAGGTACCCAGCCAAAGTCCCACAAACAGTTGATCATAGCCTTTTCTTTACGGTAGGACTCGGAATCAACCCTTGTCCTTCTTGCAAAGCTGCAAATGGTAGCCGAGTGGTGGCTGCTATCAATAATGTCACATTTGTTATGCCAACTACTGCATTACTTCAAGCACATTTTTTCAATATTAGTGGGGTATTCACAACCGACTTTCCCGGTAACCCACCAAACACTTTTAACTACACTGGAACCGCACCAGCAAACTTGGCGACCACTAATGGGACTAAAGTTTACAGGCTGGCTTATAACTCTACAGTTCAACTTGTTTTGCAAGATACAGGGATCATTGCCCCCGAGAACCATCCAGTCCATTTGCACGGATTTAATTTCTTCGCTGTCGGTAAGGGACTAGGGAACTACAATCCAAAGACAGATCAAAAGAAGTTTAATCTTGTTGATCCTGTTGAAAGGAACACAATTGGAGTACCATCAGGTGGATGGGTTGCTATAAGATTCCGGGCAGATAATCCAGGTACAGTACTAACATTCTTCTGACAAATTTTCATTGATTTTGGTCTTTTTCTTTTTCCTCCGTGACCTTCTCTGCAAATTACAGTGTTATATAAATGCTAATTTCTTTGAATTTTATATATGCAGGAGTTTGGTTCATGCACTGTCACTTGGAAGTGCATACAACATGGGGACTGAAGATGGCGTTCTTGGTTGACAACGGCAAAGGCCCGAATGAGTCACTTCTACCACCTCCAAGCGATCTTCCAAAATGCTAAGTCACTCAAACAATTTATACATAATTATACGAAGTAGAGAAATCTTCCATCAAAACCGAGGTGCAGAGGCAGTGTGCACTTATACAGAAGAGGATGAGAAGAGAGAGCTAATAACAAGACCGGATACAATATTATATCTTGAGAAAAAAACAAATTCTGCTCAAGCATGTTTGAATTATATTTGTACGAAAACTTTATTAAAGGAATCTTCATGAAATTTTTTACAACATTTGGTATATGCTATTCCGAGTGAAATTAATTGTATCTTGTGATTCTTAACAATTGTAAAAAAATAACTAGAAATTAAAACACAAAAATAAATCAGTACACTGGGTTCTTCAAATGGTTTAGATTACATGTTGTAAAAATTTTTGTTTATGGAAACACTTTGCAAAGTTAGCGTCCAAGTTCTAATGAAGGATGGTTCTGTAGTTTGCTTAAGGAAGGATTAACAATATTTGCCGTGTGGGAGGCAGATAATTGTTTGTGTATTGAGTTGTTTGAAAACGAAGTTTCCCATTAAAAGGTGTAAAGTAAAGAGAATTCATCAGTTTCATTCACTGCAACTGTTCATGTCTTGGTAATCAGAGAAATCTGCAGATCTAATTTGTCATTCATGTATGGATTATGAATAGCTTTTAATATATTGTTTATAATCACTTCAAATCATCTGAAGATTGTGGGCATTGGAGTAATTTTGGCTAATTAATCTTGTGGATATATAGATGTCCACCTATTTTGATTTTCTAAATGCATCTTAAAAGATTTTAGAAGTTCTTATGAATATTAATTTGCAGAATATAAACGACATGTCGTTTAAGCTTCACATCTTAAACGATTTGCTTTACATACACCATTCATTCCTCTTGTCGACTTGTCCTTTATATACCCCATTTACGAATTTATGGCATAACTGAAAATATCCCTCTCTTCGTATTAGAGATCATGAGAAGTTTAATATATTTGATCCATAGCCTTTTTGTTTGATTTTTAAGTATAATTTTTTATTTAAAATATATTGTATATATGTTTGAACCACTGTTTAATAACCGACGGCTACTTTATCTGAATTAAACTTGCATTCACCATTTTTTCCAGTATAAGGGTATGAGATTTCTTCCTGTAGTCCTCCGGCATCGATCAAATATTTGTAGGCTTTTGTCATAAGGCCTGCATAGCAAACACTGTCACATTCATTCTGTTGCTTTGCATCACACTGCAAATTACTTATACGAAGCATCAAGAAAGTAATTAATTGGATCATTAAGAGGAACCAAAACAACCATTGTCACATTCATTCTGTTGTCATAAGGCCTTCATAGCAACCTGTTAGGGTCAAAAATCGTCTTGGGCTTGATGAGGCCTAATAAGAAATAAATATGTCACATCCTAAGGCCTCAACCCAATCCTGATTGGGCCTACGCTTAAAATCAACTTGCGAACTACCCACTCTATGAGTTGGGCTATCTTATAAATTAAGCTAAACTATGTTTTAGCCCATTATCCTGCAATAGTCTATAAATAGGAAATCAGAATCCTATTCTACTTCCTCTTTTACTAAGATTCCAAATCTTACTTAAAATATCAGACTTAATCTGATAAGATCAAAAAATCATATATCTTTCATGATAGGAATTATCTCCCAAAATAAGATTTAGTATCCTACTAAGATTCCAAATCTTATTTAAACTATTAAACTTAATCTGATAAGGCCAAGAAACCATGTCTCTTTCATGATAGAGATTATCTCTCAAAATAAGATTTAGTATCCTACTAAGATTCCAAATCTTATTTAAACTATTAAACTTAATCTGATAAGGCCAAGAAACCATATTTCTTTCTTGATAAGGATTATCTCCAAAAAAAGAGGACTCAATGTCCTACTAGGATTCTAGCCCCTTGGGTTCACTATAAAAACATAGGCTTGCCCTCTCATTAGGCATGCAATCTCCCATAGTCAATCTACACTACTCAAAACCATCTATTTGCTCCTAAAGTTCTTGCTCCCAAGAACCCGACACCTCCGCCGTAGTCCTAGCCTCCGACAAGACTCCTGGTAATTCTTCATCTCCTTAATTCTTATAAAATAATCTCTTTCAACCTCGTTGACTTGAGAGTCGGAGTGCCTATGACAAACACCACCCCGGTGTTTTTCTGAAGCTTCGCACTTGCCTTTTCATGTGTGCAGGTCTAGCGGATTGTCAGTGGCCTTAACCTTATGAGATCAGACCCTATTTTCATGACAGTGGATTTTTTGCCTCATATTATTGTTCTAAATTAATAATAGCTTCATATTATTGTTCTAAATTAATAATAGAATAATAATGTGTTAGAGTTTAAAGTGGTGTTCCTAAACCACTTGATTCATTGACTGTGCTTCAACAATCTCTCTTCTCTAATCCTCTGTTCAGATAAGGCAATAGCTTCTATCTCTAACCTCTCTACGCACGCCTTTTCACTTCAATCATCAAACAACTAGGTCAGCCACTGTTATCGGAGCTTTGCAATGCATTACCCGCCACAAAACCAGTCAATTTGTTCATTCAAGAAGATGTCGCGATACGCCAGCATCTCCAGGACCTCCGCTCCATTAGAAGGTAACTCAAACTTGTCCAACCTTGATCTAATCCCAATTCAACTTCACGAAGGTTTGCCACCACTTTGAAACCCAAAACCTGTCCACCTGTTCTCCTAAAATCGCCCTAACAGCTTCTCCAATCACATAGTTAAATCCTAAAAACACAGCAATAATCCTCTCAAAACACCTAAAGTCATCTACTAAACACGAACATAAACCCCCCAAACAAAACCTGCTTAAGTGACGCCACCTCACTCTCGCCTAATCTCCTTACCCCACTGTATTCCAAAACTCCAAACTCGAACCATCGCCCCTTCCCAACCAATACATATCAACTCAAACCACCTTCACATCACAATCTCCAACATACCTGTCACAAAAGCCCTCATGTTCCCCACTGTTTGCAAACTTTCCACTCCCCACTGCAACTTAGCCCTACTAAACAACACGAGCAGTCCACTCAATGATATTTGGGTCTGCACATACAATATCAAAATGCCCATTCGATTCAGCCCAAAAGTGAATCACATGCCCACTCAACTTCAATTGGTTCAGCTCCGACATAGAAAGTAACACCCCTCTCTCCACTCGGTCTAGCAAGCATGGGTGGCAGCACTTAAAGGGGAAAAAGTATGTGTCATTATCTCTTTTTAACTACCACTCTATTTGGTTAAATCTTTCTCTATTCGGCCCATTACTTAAATACATGCAACCCATTTTTCCATTTAGCTCATACTTTATTCAATCCATAACACATGCACATCATGCATATTGACTCTCCATTCGGCTCTTTGCTTAAAACATGCATGCCATGCATGTCACTGCTCCAGCTTCAATCAAATGTTTTCAACTACAAAGTCGGTCATGCTGACTGGGCCACATAGCCCTCAAAGGTTTCAACTACAAGTCAACCATGCCGACTCGACTACAAGCTCCATACAAGCTCCACCTAGCATACACCTGTGGATCGACCCTGCTCGATCCACGGATTTACACATTTGGATCGACCCTGCTCGATCCACGGATTTATACCTTCATATCGACCCTGCTCAATCCACAGATTTTTACACCTTCGGATTGACCTTGCTCGATCCACTGATTTACACCTTCGGATCGACCCTACTCAATCCACGGATTTTTACACCTTTGGATCGACCTTGCTCGATCCACAGATTTACACCTTTGGATCGACCCTGCTCGATCCATGGATTTTTGCACCTTCGGATCGACCCTGCTCCATCCACGGATTTTTGCACCTTCGGATCGACCCTGCTCGATCCACGGATTTTTATACCTTCGGATCGACCCTGCTCGATCCACGGATTTTTATACCTTCGGATCGACCCTGCTCGATCCACAGATTTTTATACCTTCGGATCGACCCTGCTCGATCCACGGATTTTTATACCTTCGGATCGACCCTGCTCGATCCACAGATTTTTATACCTTCGGATCGACCCTGCTCGATCCACGGATTTACACCTTCGGATCGACCGTGCTCGATCCACGGATTTTTACACCTTCGGATCGACCCTGCTTGATCCACGGATTTACACCTTCGGATCGACCCTGCTCGATCCACGGATTTATACTTTCGGATCGACCCTGCTCGATCCACGGATTTATACCTTCGGATCGACCCTGCTCAATCCACGGATTTACACCTTCGGATCGACCCTGCTCGATCCATAGATTTACACTTTCGGATCGACCCTGCTCGATCCACGGATTTACACTTTCGGATCGGCTCTGTCTGATTCACGGATTTACACCTTTGATCGGCCCTGCCCGATTCAGGAATTTACACATTCAATTGGCTCAGGCCGATTGAAGGACTTGCACCTCAAATCGACAAGTCATCAACCCAATCCACACAACGATCCATCTGACCTAACGAGCTGCTATCACTAATCTGCTCAGTCTGCACTTATTCGATTAAATCTACTCTCTAAGCTAAATACTCTTTAACTTAGAGAGTGGGGGGCTAACTGTTAGGGTCAAAAATCGTCTTGGGCTTGATGAGGCCTAATAACGAAATAAACATGTCACATTCTAAGGCCTCAACCCAATCCTGATTGGGCCTACGCTTAAAATCACCTTGCGAACTACCCAGTCTATGAGTTGGGATATCTTATAAGTTAAGCTAAACTGGGTTTTAGCCCATTAGCCTGCAATAGTCTATAAATAGGAAATCAGAATCCTATTCTACTTCCTCTTCTACTAAGATTCCAAATCTTACTTAAACTATCAGACTTAATCTGATAAGATCAAGAAATCATATCTCTTTCATGATAGGGATTATCTCCCAAAATAGGGCTTAGTGTCCTACTAAGATTCCAACTCTTATTTAAACTATTAAACTTGATCTGATAAGGTCAAGAAATCATATCTCTTTCATGATAGGGATTATCTCCCAAAATAAGACTTAGTATCCTACTAAGATTCCAAATCTTATTTAAACTATTAAACTTAATCTGATAAGGCCAAGAAACCATATTTCTTTATTGATAGGGATTATCTCCCAAAAAAGAGGACTCAATGTCCTACTAGGATTCTAGCCCCTTGGGTTCACTATAAAAACATAGGCTTGCCCTCTCATTAGGCATGCAATCTCCCATAGTCAATCTACACTACTCAAAACCATCTACTTGCTCCTAAAGTTCTTGCTCCCAAGAACCCGACGCCTCCGCCGTAGTCCTAGCCTCCGACAAGACTCCTAGTAATTCTTCATCTCCTTAATTCTTATCAAATAATCTCTTTCAGCCTTGTTGA